TATATATATATATATATATATACGCTTGTGTAAATTTATGACATTTGCACGTTGCAAATATATCGTTTTGGGAATAAAGAGCATAATTCGTGAGTCTCCTGCTTGCAAGAATAATAGTTTCAGCCACATTCACGTTATGGCACATATCCACGTTCGTTTGAGAGTAAAGATTCCTTTTGCAAACGAACGCTGGATCGGGAGTAATTCTCGGTACAGTGTCAGAAAATGATCAAATAATCACTCTCAATATTCAACGATAGAAAATAAATCTCGAGATTGATTCGAGGAAATTTCAAATGGATTCGCAGTCTTCCTCCTTCGCTTTCTAAATTCGCTCCTTTGGGAATTATTATTATTATTATATTGAAAAAAAAAAGGGACAAAAATAATAAAATATTGCATCGATTATTACGTCGATATTGAACCTCTATAATCCTTCTATAAAATAATCCTGTGATCGTTCAATTCTTTCGTTTTAGATAATTTTCTGGCTCAATTAAAGAGCCATTTGAAGATGTTATTTGAAGGTTACATTGCATGGAACTACGTAATATTCGAGAAATTATTACATTAAAGAAAAGAATTTAAAATTTGATAATAAAGTAATAAAAGGATCGGGTCGTTGATCCCAAAGGATTGAAAACGAAGGTATCAGCTATCATCAAGCTATTAAGGCCACGTGCAGTCTGCCAACAAAAGCTCGTCGCACCGACACCTGTTTTTGTTTGAAGTGGAGGAACTATTCTCTTAAGAATACCCTATTACTCTCCTTTCTACTCTCCTTCTTTTGCGTTCTTAAAACTTTGATATCAATCAATATATATTCGAATCATCAATCTATATATATTTCAACGATTTATAATTTATAATTATATCAAAAAAAAAAAAAAAGAAAAAAAAAAAAAGGAAAAGGAAATGTAAGATTTAAAGAAAAATCGAACGAGATTTAGTTTTACGAGTCTGCACGTGATCGATGTTTCGATAATATTAATCGTGAACATTTATCACAATATCGGCTCAGAAAGGGATAGTTTGTTCGATTGTTTCGATATGAAAAATTTCCACATTGGATCTAATAAAATTAAATTGGGGGAATAGGTTATTTGTGGATTCGTGAAGAATGGTTTTTTCCATTTTCGTTGGATCGATGATTCAACCCTTCGCTCTCGAGATATTGTAAAAATGAGGAAATGAATGTAGCATGGAATTGGAATTTACACGTGTAAATAAATTTTGTAGATATATTTTAATAATCTTGTAAAAAGTGTTCTTCTTCAAATTTAAAAATCACAATATCTTTAAATTTGCTAGAAAATGTACAAAATTTTTAGATCGTTTTGATTGAATACAAGATTTTAAAAATATATAAAATCGTAGAAAAAAAAAAAAAAAGAATAAAAAAAAAATCAAACAAGAGGGGAATCAAGTGCAAAGGGTTCAAAGATAGAGGTTTACGAATTCTAGAAAAAGGGGGATGGATGATAAAGAATTTACAATTGCACGCACAATATTTTCACAGTCTCATCGTGAATTTCATTTAACATTTTCGTTTAACATCTTCATCGCACTTTGGGGCACTTTGAGATCCTCCTCGTTCTTACAACTTCAAATTCCTTTGTTACAATTTTTCCATCGTTTCCCATTCATTCTCATTGGAATAACATGCAAAACAAAAAAAAAAAAAACAAAAAAGAAAGAAAAAAATTGCAAAAATTTCGCGAATTTCATTCTTCCAATTCCTCTTGTTTTCTCAATCAAATCATTACATAAACACCTGCTCCATCTTTTATGCAACAGATATGCGGATATCACTTTTATTATTACGCGAAAAGCATATTGTTTCCTTCTTCTTTTCCGATGCAATTGTTTACAAATTCATGAAGTTCATGTTGATCGTTGTTACAGACAGCTTGGCCAAACGCACTCTTCCATTTTTATACTCATCGTACGTATAAGATCATTAAGATAAAAATCGATAGATTATTGAGTCTGTTTAATTGATTACAATGGGCTAGTCTAATAAATAAAAAAAAATAAAAATAAAAATAAAAAATAAAAATGTCACGTAATCTTAAAACGATCTTGCCTCGAGGCTGCTCGTTATACACACACACGCACACACACACACACACACACACACATTCTCTCTCTCTCTCTCTTTACAATAGCGAACAACGTAAATACAGTACTAAGAATAATAGTAAGAAAAACGTAAATGTACTCTTTAATTCGAATACGTTATTCGTTCTGTAACTTTATCGATACTCGATGGAATTTGGAAGAGAATTATTTTCTCTTTCAAATTTTTCTATTTCCCCCCTTTCCTTCCTTTCGTCTAATTAACAATCGTAAATTTATTTTATTTTTCTCTATAAATAATTCTGTGTAGCTTCGCAGGATTTCATCACCCCGTCCCGTTAATTAGATTCTGTCTTAATATCGATAAAGTTAAAAGAACGAATCGTGGTGTCGATCAAGCTCTCCTTGCGGAAAGGATAACGTCGACAACGTCATAAGACTATTATTTAGCGATAAGTCACATTGATTCGACAAGGTAAGGCTTACAACGTAAGGGTGCTCCTCTTTGTCGAACTCGGAAGGAACTCCCCGATCAGCTTTTCAAGAAGGTCGATTTACTGGTCCATAATTGTTCCGCGGTAAAAAAAACCCTGTTCCCTGTTCTTCGTATTTCTTCTTATCTCTTAACATAACCGATCGAACACCGCGATAAATATATTTTTTAATTTCTCTCCGCTTGATCAGAGTTCGAAGAATCAAAAAATTTTATCACGATTTTCTCGTAAAAAAAAAAAAAAAAAAAAAAAAGACGTTCTTTCTTCGTCCAACAAGAATTCTATACATAGAGTGCATAGAGTTCCATCTTTCCTCTCCTCGTCTCAACCGGAAATCAACGTTGTTTCCCAACGACGACAGAGAGAGAAGAAAAGAAGAAAAGAACCAGTGCACCATTGTTATCTAGACTTTACCACTTGTCCCGAACGCAACGTTATAATTTTCTTTTTTTATATTAATTTCACTTTGCAATAATTATAATAATATATATAATAATATAATTACAAATAATTATTCATTAATATTTATTTGAATATTTTCACTAGATTTGTATAGAATGTCTCCTCCTTTCTCATCTTTTCGTGTTTTAACCTCGACGTCGCCAGAGTGTGATGGCGGCCATCGTTTACTTTCTCTTTTCATTTTTATTACATTTCTCCTATTCTTTCTTTTTTTTTTTCTTTTTTTTAATTTTTCTTCTTTCTTTATCACAGGAGCCCATTCTCGACCGCTCGTTTCCACACACTTTGACACTTTGTTTCGTCGACGTTACGAATTTCTTTAGGACGATTTTGCTCGAATGGCGGATGATAAAATTAATAATCCTAAAGTAATGCAAAAGAACGAAAAAAAAAAAAAAAAAANAAAAAAAAAAAAAAAAAAAAAAAAGAAAAAAAGAAATTGGAAAAGAAGGATGCCTAAGATCATAGAAGACGAAAGAAAATTGATATTGAATAAATTTTTCTTTTCGTCGATCTTTACCTAGCAATTGAAGAATATCAAGAATTGCAAGTGTATCGATATTATTATCGAATATTATTTCTTTTTTTTTTTTTTTAAACGAATTTTTATCACACGTCACTCATCGTCCCAATATCATAATATTCTTTCATTCACCACAAAAATCTTTATTCACCATTCACAACTCCTCAAACAACACTGATCAACAAGAGACGGTTCTCGAGTTAAAAAATAATATCGATATTATTCTCCTCGGGTGAATAACAAGTCCATCTTTTTCTCCATTCCTCTTTCCTTACTACTTAAAAAACACAAACGTTTTAATGTCTCGTTTGTCATCGAAATCTAGCATTCTTATCGATTCTTTCTCCCTTCGTGCTACGAATCTTTCATACCGTTCCAGGACAGAGCAGCTGGAGAAGAGAAATACGACGCTCGATAATCAGTCCTTTTCGTTTCTCCTATATGTTTTTCTCCTTTAAACCAAGTTCAAGGCCATTCGGTTCAGCCCCCGGTTCATCCTACGCCACTGCGTCTCAAATTTTTCCACCGAATTTCGAGAAGGAGACGCTTAACTTCTTGCTTACTTCTTGCCTCGCGTAAAAAGAAATCTAGGAAAAATAGAATCTTCGTCGAAGAGGCAAGAGAATTACGAGATTACGCCAACTAAATCTTTTTAAAAACGAAATCGAATCTTAATCTTTCTTTCTCCGCGAGTTCTCCCTCTCGAACAGTGGCGCAAGAAAACGTAGGAACTCCAAAAGGGGGGGGAAAAAAAAAGAAAAAAAAAAAAAAAAAGTAACCCTAACAACCCTCCTCGAGCCGATCATGCCACTCGTCGATGAAGGCACGCTCGTCAATCCGTGAAAAGTCTCCGGATAATCGATATCCCAGCTCGATATCCCTCTCCTTTTTCTTCTTCTTTCTTTTTTCTTTTCAACGAAATCTCCAATCTCCTCCTCATCCACTCGATGGCAGCGAGATGATCGAATCGATACGAAATCCCATTGCCATTTCCTCCGTCCGAAACGAGAGAGGGATGCGTATTTTTCCGTCAAAAAAGGGGAGGGAGGAGGAAGGGGAAAAAGAAAGAAAGAAAGAAAGAAAGAAAGAAAGAAAGAAAGAAAGGAAAAAAAACGCGCATTTTTGAAAAAAGCGACGTTCTCGCCTTCGTCTCTTCCTTCATCTCGTCCTCTCGACTGGCCGCCATTTTTCCTGCGCCAATCGAGGGGGAAGGGGAGCTGGTACAGTTCTTTTTTTTTTTTTCTTTTTCTCTCTTTTTTCTTTTCTTTCAAAGGAATAATCTATTTACATCCGTCCCTTGCACGATTCTTCTTCCGTTCCGGGAACAACACGATCACAGCCACTCGGTGAGGCAGCCACCGAACCACATCACCACTATGGGCACGAGGTACGTCGTCAGAGCACGTGACAGGGATATCTTCTGCCTGCTCGCCCCGCTATCCACGCTGGACGTGCCGTTGTTGTTGTTGTTGTTGTTGCTGCTGTTGTTGCTGTTGTCGTTATTGTTATTGCTGTTGTTGTTATTGGAGATGACACTGGGAGTCTTCTGGTCCACTTCCACCCTCGGAGGCACCACTTCCGGATGAACGGCCGGGGGTTTGGGGGTCTCTGAGGGCGAATACTTTGGCTCGTAACCGGAACCCTCCTTGAAACCGTCCTCGTCGTCCGTGATCGGATCTTGGTCCGTGCTGTCCCCGGATCCGCTTCCGGAACCGTTCCACTCCGTGTCCTCTGAAAATTAGAGCATCGCTAATTGAAGTTGGATGGTTTAAGTAAGTCAAGATGGGGAAGAGAGAGGAGAGGAGAGGAGAGGAGAGGATTGTTTCTTCGAGTCTTTCCAAAGTGTTCCTTCCTCTCTGGAATGGTCTGTTTCTGCAACGATCGAAGATCGGGCAAGATCGATGGGATATCTGGGACTCGTTTGAAGTAGGTTTCACGAGGAATGAAGATTATTGCGAAGTTTTTTCGTGCAAGTAGAATTTGACAATCGATAATTTCCAATAAAATTCGTTCTTGATCGCCAATACGAAAACACTCTAGAGATAAGATAAGCGAGTTCCATTACACGCGGTTTGATAAACTCTTTGCCACTTTTTGTATCTGTTTTCTTCGCGATACGATTAATCTCGCGAATTAGTTATTTTCCTTAAGTAAATTTAATTTCAAAATTATGCGAAAAAGTTAATTTATCCATCCGTAAGATGTAAATTTGTGACTCGAAAATTCGATAAATATCGAATCTACGAATAAAATCTATCGATATTTTCTATTTTCGACGTATCTATAATTTTATATTAATTCAAGAAATTCAATTTTGGATTAATTAAATTCCAATCAAATCTTTCTATTCCGATTGCTTTTGAGCGATATCGATTTTAATGGAACGATAAATTGAATATCGGCCAAGCAATAATAATAATAATAATAATAACAACATACCCGTATCTATCCAATCAACGTCCTGCCCGTTGTACGCGGATTTCAGTCTATTCGTGATGGTGGTCAACGCGAAGACCTGGTCCCTGACGATTGTCGGTCTCGTTCCCGCGCTAAGCACTTCTGGATTCAATTTCTGATCCTCGCCATTAGACGAAACCGGGTAAATATATCTAGAACACAAAATTCACGATTATTGTAATAATAACGATAATTTCAATTTACTACATGACAAGTCAAATTTACGATTATATCCTTTTACCGAGGCTGAGGATTGAAAGAAAGAAAAAAGAAGAAAGGGAGAAAGAAGAGGAAGAGAAATAATTATCAGAAAAGGAAAAACTCTCACTTGTCGACGTGCGTGCCGTTCCAGCATTCTTTGGTGTTGCTAGGAGGCACGACGAGGCCGTCGTTGCAAATCTTGTAAGGTAGGTAAACCCAAAATTGCCTCGAATCTCTCACTCTCTGCCGCGTCTCCTTCACCAATTTGTCGAGGATAGCCGCAGCCGAGACTCGATCGTCCGTCAACGTGTCCTGATCGAAATTCAACGATTCCAGTTCCAATTCTCGATTGTCCCGACGTCTGCGCCTTCCCAACACGGGCCGGCCACAGCCGGTGAACACCCTTTGCGAGACGTCGTTACTGTTCTCTTGGAAGTTCATGATCGCCTCCGAGATTTTCAAGTTGAGCGGTCGTACCAGCATCTCGATGTTGAAGGGGCCCAACAGCCGGTCCGCCACTTTGTCCACGGCCTCTGAGATTCGAAAAATCGAAGAAAAATCGATAATTCACAAATTCGATTCGATCGTTGGCTTCCTTCGCGAAATGAGATATTTATTCGTTAAATTTTAAGATCAACTTTCATCTTTCACCGATTTCTTTCTTCTAATTCTAAAATCCTATTAAATTTCAGATTTGGATCCGACATTTGCATCGATCTTTGGTTATTCGCTCTTCTCTCGCGCTATATACGAACAGTATATAGTATATATGCGTTATTCGTGGTCGATGGATTATATTCTCTCCCCTCCTATAATTACCAGGATGGAACAATGCACGTGGAAATTACTCACCGACGAAGTGATTCCATTCAGTGTCCAGAGCCGCGTGCTGGGCAAGGCAACCCTTCATCACGTTGGCACACATGTCGCCGCACGCCAACACGTTGCCGGCGATCCCGCTGCACGAAGGACAGACGGTCATCCTCGTGAGCGCAGCTGCGCACTCCGCCGATGGCTTCAACTGCGAATCGATCGATCGAAATTTTTTCCAAATGGATTTCGAAATCGACACCATTTATTTATTTATTCGCGCGCGAATAAAGCGAAATCAGGGGATATTTACCGATTGCATGTTCTTCAAGACGTCGGCAGCTACGGTCAACGCCTGGCTGAAAGCCCTCGTGGCAACGAACGATCTCTTGATCTGCACCCCGAGTTTTTGCGGCGCGTCGCCGAACGGTCTGATTTCTTTCATGTGCTCCCCCACGCATTCCATGTACTTATTGTCGAAATTGTATTGACTGTTCAACACGGTGAACATTTTTTGATAAAGGGTGTTGAAGAAATTGTCCATGGTGTCGTCGAGATCGACCTGAATCATAGTTGAAAACAAAAAACGCTTTTATTTTCTTATAAAAAAATGTAGACTTTATGAAGATAGGCAACGATACACGGTTTTGGAAATAAACTGGAGGAAGGGAATTTCGATCGTTCATCTTCTTAATTTCTATATTCCCGATACTCAATCGATGAAAGATGAAGAAAAGAATATACAAGTTATCGAGCTCGACCTGAAAGTTAAGAATTATAGTCGAGACCAAAACTTTGCTTTTATTTTCTGCCTTATAAAAATAACCAAAACAATACTACATAGTTTTGGAAATAAACTGGGAGGGGAATTTCAATCGTTTAAAGATGAAGAAAAAAAAAAATATAGAAGATATCGAGCTTGATCTGAAAATTAGGAATCATAGTCGAGACCAAAACTTTGCTTTTATTTTCTGCCTTATAAAAATTGCCAAAACAACGATACATAGTTTTGGAAATAAACTGGGAGGGCAATTTCAATTGTTCAAAGATGAAGAAAAAAAAAATATAGAAGATATCGAGCTTGATCTGAAAGGAATCCTAGTCGAGACAAAAACTTTGCTTTTATTTTCTGCCTTATAAAAATAGCCAAAACAATGCTACATAGTTTTGGAAATAAACTGGGAGGGCAATTTCAATCGTTTAAAGATGAAGAAAAAAAAGAAATATAGAAGATATCGAGCTTGATCTGAAAATTAGGAATCATAGTCGAGACCAAAACTTTGCTTTTATTTTCTGCCTTATAAAAATAACCAAAACAATGCTACATAGTTTTGGAAATAAATTGGATGGGGAATTTCGATCGTTCAAAGATGAAGAAAAAAGAAAATATAAAATAATATCGAGGAAAGGAGAATAAAATTTTTCGAAATTTCTCGATTAATTTTTTTTTTTTTTTTCTATTCAATTTCCAAGCAGTGAAGAGTTTATGGAAAGGGACTTTTCGACTCCTTAAGCCTGTCGTCGTTTCAATTTCGAAAACGTCGATCAAAAAGATAGAGCGTGGAAAGAAGCCTCGATAAATTGAGTCCCTCGACGCGATATATCACGATCGCGTATAAATTCGTTATCCTGCACCGACGCGTGCGATTGCGACAATAATATATTCATGCGGGGCCATTTTCGAGCGCGCAACGAGGATCCGAACCGGGTCCAAGTGGCGCTCGTTGAATAATTTCCAACCGATTTGAATGACAATCGCCACCCTCGGTATCGCCTCCCTCTTTTTTTCGCGGCATTCCTTCCTTCCTTCCTTCCTTCCTTCTTCCCCAATCCAATCCTTCTTTCTCGCTTTCGAGTGATCGATGCGACGCGACGACGACTCGAAATCGTCGTCGCGTGCCACATACGTTGAACGATTCAGAGATTAATCCTTGAGAAAAATTCCAATTTAAAACCGTGGAGGGAATGGTGGTGACTCGTTAATTGTCGTTAAATTTGTGAGCTTTCGATCGAGGGAAGCGTGGTACCGAAGAATCAGAGAGAGAAAGAGAGAGAGGGGGAGGGAGAAAGAAGAAAAGATCGAAGGGGAATGAAGCAGAGAGAAATTCCAACGGTGAGGGATGGAGATGTCTCCAAGATGGATGGTAATGGTGTCTCGTTAACCGTCGAGGGAATCCGTTATCGAGGAAAACGTGGCATTGAAGAAGAAGAAAAAGAAGAAGAAGAAGAAAAATAGAGAAAGCTTCTTTTTTATTCGTAAAATACATTTAAGACGAAATATCACGAAATTACAAGTATAATTTAATTTTCTCCCTCTATTGGGCTTCGATACGAGAATTGATAAAAATCACCTCCCCCTTAATAACTTCTCCGTATCCGAAAACGGAATACGATTCCATTCTCCTTAGAAACATCCCCTTTGAACATTAATCCCAATACAAAAGGACAAACCCCGGACAGATAAAGCGAAAACCGTCCTGTAATTGCTGAGCCCCCTCCCACCTTGACCTCCGTTCAAGACTACGAATGTGCAAGAGAAGAAAGAAGAGAGAGAGAGAGAGAGAGAGAGAGAGAGAGAGAGAGAGAGTCGGGAAATTTTCCTGCCTTTTATCGGTAAACGGTCGCGAACCCGTCACAAGCATTGATTAAACTCGGGCTCGGGCACGAGAACCGCTTTCCACCACCCTGTCACGAAGTCTCGTTGCTCGCGGTTAAACGTCCGGTGGACGAGGGTCGAGCTTTCCAACCCAAACTTTCGCCCCTCGACGACGAGCCTCCTTCTCTCTCTCTCTTTCTCTCTCTTCCTTCTAGACGAGCGTGGACGAGGTTGTCCACGGATGGGACGAAAGCGGAGGAAAGCCACGACGAACAAATTCTTCCGCGATTTGAAAATCGAGACCGCGACCCCTTCCTCTGTCGATTTTATCCTGGGATTTGATTTGTCCTATCGCGAACGAAATTGAATAGTCGTCTTCCGCGATTGCGAATTAACAGGGGGGGGGGGGGAAGGAGAGGGAAGGGGGAGGAAACCGAGAATTTTCTCTCAGGGGTTGGATTTAAAGATATAGATATTCGAGAAGAAGATTTTATTTTTTAATTTCTCCATTTGTCTTTTGCGATACTCTCGATAGAGGTATGAAAATGTAATGATTAAAAATGTAAGTACTCGTTCGAGAAAACGGAAGACGTGGAATGTTTTATTTTTTAATCTTTCCATTTGTCTTTCGAGATATCCTCGATAGAGGTATGAAAATAGGGGGATTTTGTCTGTGAGTTGATTAAAAATGTAAGTATTTATTCGAGAAAGTGGAAGAAGTGGAATGTTTTATTTTTCCATTAAAATTTTCTTTTTCTTCTACGCGTGACTTACCGTTCCCTTCGCGTAATAATTCTCCAATTCCTTGAATAAGTCCGTGAACACGTACGCGTTCTGCTCGTAGAGGGTACCGTAAGTCTTCTTAAACATCTCGTGAAAGACCCTCTTGCTATTTGCGAAGAGATCCTTGAAGAAGCCTGTGAAAAGAAAGGAGGAGAATATTTCAAACAAATATTTCCTTTCCTCAACGATAACAAATCGATCTAAAAAAAAAAAAAACCGTTTCAAATCCGAGGAATAATTTGAAAACACAGGGGAGGAAATACGGGAAGAAGAAAGGATTGGATCGAGGAGAGGCGCATCCAATACAATAGGCGTATAAATAATTTATACGAGTTGTTAATCGATCCGGGAGGGGAGGAAGGGAGGAGGGAGGGGGGGGGACAAAAAGGACTAGCGGGAAAACGTAATTTCCTTAATTGCACTTCTGCTTCTCCTCGGCTCCTGTGACTGGGAATAATTCGTAATTGCGGAGGGAACGAATCGATCCACCTGTTCGAGACAGATAGGGGAGGAGGGCGGCCCGTTACTCGAGATTTGCAAATCAATCACAGCCTCGGTTTATAACTTGGCAGATTGATCGCGCGTTAACAATGTTTGCCTCTTGTCGAATTATAGCGCCCCGTACGCTCCATCTAATTTGCAAGCGTTAATTAACCAAACCCCCTCCACGCTCTAGAATAACGAAGTTTTATTCCCTCGCTCGTTTATCTTGAACTCTATCTTGGAAAAGAAGAATAAGATATTGCGTGGAGATACCAATCAAACTTTTGATTTGAAAAAATCCTTATTTATAAAACTAACTAACTCGAAAGAAAGTGATAATAATATCTACTTGTCTATATTTCTTAACACAGAATAATAATATATACGAATTCCTCGTGAAACAATTATTATTTATCAAAATAAAAAATACACATATATAAAACTTGTTGAATAAGTCATCAAATCAAAACGGTTATCGGTTGGAAGAAATCGGACGGAAAATAATTGCAGGAAGAAAGATTTGCGGGGAGAAAAATCGTGGAGTTGGAGGGCAACAATGGCGTCGACCGTCCGGCCCGACAAAGAGATGCCTGTGCCACCCTCTAACGCGCGTAACCTCGCCAACCCCCTGACACAGGCCTGAACCCGTTCTTATCGTCACTTCAGTCGCGAAGAATGTGATTAAAATTCCTTTTAACGACGCCGGGCACCGGAGAGGGAGAGAGAGAGAGAGGGAGAGAGAGAGAGAGAGAGAGAGAGAGAGAGAGAGAGAGAGAGAGAGAGAGAGAGAGAAAGGTAGAACACAGGTGAGCCTCTGTGTAACGAATCGTCGACGGCGACGTCGGCGACGACGCCTCCGCAAAAAGCTTCGGGCTCCGCGTCGCGTGAAAAGGGAAGGAAGCACTTGGCGCCGCGACGACCGGCTACGAACTTCGCCAGCCTTTTAATTCGCGATACGCTCCCAGCTTCGCGACTAATTCCCTCGGTTTCCCCTTCGAACCGACCTCGACTCGTGTTTAGAGGAATTTTTTATTTTTTTTTCGATCGAGACGATCGAAGAATCGTCGATGAGACGAGTAAAGTATTTCGCGAAACGAGTGGATTTCATGTATGTTTTTCGACAATATTATATATAATTTTGCAATTTTTTTCGAACGATCGAATTATTCGATTGCGGATGATTTATGGAAAGTTGAAATACTCATCAAAATCTAAGATAGAAGAGTAGTAAAATATTGTGTTCGTATATAAATTTTACTTTACACAAATAAAATTCCCTGTCTAAGTATCTACTTATTTTCGTCACGTTATTTCGATCACGATCATTTATAGACAGAGAAAAATATCACGAATTCGTCTAATAATAGAAATCCACTCTTTCCAACAATTATTTCAAGCTTCTTCTTCCAAAGAAAGAAGTAAGAAATTATTAAGAGAGGGGAGGAGGGAAAAAGAAAATCAGACGTAGAACAAAATTTCCAAGGCATTATATCTCTTCCCTTGCACTTTCTCGCCCCTTGGTCTCTCCGAAATCGCTATCTTCCTCCCCCGCGTATCAATGTTCCTGCACGCTCTTTCTCCCCCTCTCCCCCTTTCATCCCTCGACGCACTTCTATCGTGGCGAGTGGCAGGCAAAGTGGATACGTAGCTAGTGGTGGTGGCTCAAAGGGAAGCACGACGACCGACAGAGAAGCCGTGATGGTCGTATGGAAGGAAAGGGCATGGGAAAGATTGAACCTCGAGGAGGATGGTTTGGGAGGGAGGAGGAGGTTATGGTGGCGCGAACTCGCGTAATTTCGTTAATGAGAACCGTTACTCGCGCCTCTGAGATTTTCCGCCGCATCTAGACTAATTTCCACCACGATCGATCGATCCTCTCCATCTCACCATCGCGGGGATCGCCGTTTCCTTTCACTCGAATTTCCTTCGCAGAAGAGGTCTCGTGTCGTCTCGTGTGCAAATTTTATGGTCGTCGTCAGGTATCCATCCGAATATTTCTATAAGTGTATGCTATATAGATAACTCTATACGGATATACGTATATTGCTAAACAATAAATTTTCACGGAGAATCGAGGAAATTTATGACACCGGTCGTAAAATACCGGAGCAGAAAAGTTTCGAGAGATAACGAGTTGGAAGGATCTCGCTCGTGACATCGAGCTGTGATTTACATTTCATATATTTGGAAAACGGGGAAATAAAAATTACCGGAACTGGTAATAATATTTTACGAGGATGGAGGGGAATCTTTCCTTTCTCCATCGTGATCTCGAATCAGTTCCAGAAAATTCTTAATTTCCAACCAAAAATTTGTAATTGGAATATTTGATATATATATATTTCTTCGTATTTTTTCAGCTTCGAGGTTTTACTATTTCCTTACTTTAGGATCTTTGTGATTTCTCTCGTAACGGAGAGAGTTTACGGAAAAGAAAAGTGGAGTATTTTTTTTTTTTTTTTTTTGTTTCTTTGATCTCGAAAGGAAATTTGCAAAAGGAGCGGTTTGATCACAGAATAGCGTGAAAATGAAAGATTTCAAATGAATGAATGCTCCTTTTGCAAATTTCCTTTCGAGATCAAAAAAAAAAAAAAAAAAAAAAAAAAAATACTCCACTTTTCTTTTCCGTAAACTCTCTCCGTTACGAGAGAAATCACAAAGATCCTAAAGTAAGGAAATAGTAAAACCTCGAAGCTGAAAAAATTCTCGCAAAGATTTTTCGCAAAGAAAAACATCGTCTGGCTCCTGCGAATAATATATATACCGACTGATCAAACGAAGTGGCACCGCCTCTCCGAGAGGCAACCTTCCACGCAGTTTCGTCACTGTGTGTGAACGTTCTCGAGTGGACTTCACCCCTTCTCCTACGCGGATAAACACGGAAAGAAATGAGATATATATATATAAAGAGAGAAAGAGAGAGAGAGAGAGAGAGAGAGAGAGAGAGAGAGAGAGAGAGACGATTAAAACGTTGAAGGAAGGTACTCACTGTGGAACCTGGACCCTCTCGTGGACAGGACTTGGTGCAACCGTTGAAGAGTTTCTTTGGTGGCTTTCTCATGTTTGTCACGTGCCCTCGCCTGCAATCTCACCTCCATGTCCGCGGAACAGCACACCTCGCCGCCGCTTCTCACGCTCCCGCATACTTTCAGCTCCTTTGCTGGAAAAACGAACGGAAAACGAGATTAAAAACCACCCTTTGGCTGCTCCTTCTTCCTCTTCTTCCTCTCCATCGTCGTGGTTACGACGAGTCGAGACCAATTTCGTTCGTTCAAGGATGGCCAAAGAACAAATTGATTCTTCATAATTGAATTTCTTTTTTTATTTTTGGGATTTACTCGATTTTTGTAGAGAGGGACGTTATCTTAATTATTTTTATTCAAGTTTCTCCGAAGATTAATTTTGAAGAGATTGATTTCGAAGGATCGTAGAATATATTTGTTCGAATATTAGGTGAATTAATTCTTTTATAAGTTTTTTTTTTTTTATTTGGTTTAGAATGTTTAGAACGTTAGCTTTTTTTTTTTTATTTTGGAAGAATTTGAAATGGATTCGGATAGGAAGTTATAGTCTTTCGGAGATCGATTTTGAAATTATAAATTTTCCTGTAGAAAGTATCGTGAACTGGTATAATTAATAATTCGGATTAACGTCTGTCTGCTTTGGAAATGATTGGAATACGTGCGCGAATGCTCGATTCGAGACAATCATTTATAATTTTCGACGCATAAATTTAATTAATAAGTCTGATTATCCTCTTTCCGCCATGGAGTCACTGTCGATTATGCTAATTACGTACGTATAATGGAAATATTTAAACATTGATCAAAGCGATAAAATTATATAATTTCTACGTAATATAAATATTACTTATTATTACGAACTAATACGGAAATAAAATCGATACAAGATCTCCTTGTCGACGAAATACTATCGAGAAACTATCGTCGAGGACCACAAGCTATATAAAATATACAGAAACAAACGAAAAAATTCACGTTTTTGAGAATTTCCACTAATCCATTTACACTTTTCTCTTTCGATATAAATACATCTCTATTTCATTATCAAAAGCATAATTTACCAAAGTATCCGTCAACATCCCTCCATCATCATTCTTCTCATTTTAACGAGTTATTCAAACCCACTAACATTCACTTCCACAATTTGAAAATCAATCTCCATATTTTACAACAATAAACCGTGCCTGTAAACGAACGTGTCCCATAAATATAAACTTTCACAAAGAAAAATTGGAAAGAAATTTGAAGATTATTTTCGGGGAAATGGAAATAATAGAATCATAAAACTGTAAGAAATGCATATATACGAAGGGAGGAGATACACCCGGATATACCTGGAAAATCCGGTGCCGGGAAATAAATCAAACCGTAATCGGCTCATACCCCCTTTCCCCCCCTGCGACAATAAGGCCACGTCAACCCATCGAAGATCGTTCTGGAACAAACGGATCCCTGCCGTTTCCCTTATCGGTGAGGAACTATATCTGCCTAATATTTCCAGCCCCCCTCCGTCCAAGTAAGCTAATTTCCACGTCCTCTCCCTTCCCCTTCATTTTCGCCTCTCCTCCTTTCCCCTCCTCTCCGTCTCCGCCAAAAGTTTGATACGCGGCCGAGGTAAAAGTAATCCTGAGATTCATTTCCGGCCGTGATCGTGCAACGCGCTTCCGCCTCCCAAACCCCGTTTTCGGGGTAGCGACATTAACGGAGGAAAATAATCGATTAAGCGCAGCGAACAATATTAAACGCTAAAACGTTTCCATCCAACGAATACACGCAATGCACAGCGTGTACATAGAAAGGTTTCGTCTCTGTCCAGTTCTATTGGGTTAATCGAGCGTCGAGGCTCGATTCGAGAGCATTCGGGGGGGGTTAGATTAACCCGTTGAAAAAGTTAAAAATTTCGAGTAGTTATTAAAATGTTTGAATAAGTTATTAAAAATCCGCTTTTCATATTACAGTTATTTGAGATTATTATTATTACGTTTTGAATAAATTGATAAATTAAAAATGGAAGTATTCAACTTTATTCAATTATTAGATTAAATTTTTAGCCGATCACTAGGTAGATATATATATAGTAGATTCCCCTCGAACAACTTGTGCAACTCGACAACTTGTTTTCTCGTTTTCGAAAGCAAATTTTTTCGATAAGCCAAGCGATTAGATTAGATTAAAAAAAAAAGAAAGAGAAATAATAAGCGGAAAATAGCACGATATTGAATTAACACTGGCGAAATTAATCGGAAACGTTAAATATCGATTCTCCTTTTCTTTTCCTCCCCTTCTTTTTCCATTTTCCCTCATCTCCCTCGGCTGAAACGTCCGATTTATCTTCAATCAACTCAACTTAACTCAACTCAACTCAAGAGATCATCGTACAACCGTTCTTACGATTCTTCGAACATTCGTTCGACGATCAAATTCTATCCAAAACTATCCAAAACTATTTGGCTAAATATATACTTGCTCGTAATCCCCATTTTCTTGGCAACGATCGGCCATTACGCGGAGGGGCAATAATAAGCGTCATAAAAACGTATTTGGATCGAAATTTATATCCTCCTCGTATAAAAATGTCTGGGAACAACGGAAATAAATAATAAAAAAAAAAAAGAGAAAAGGAATATAAAATAGACGGGGGAGAAGCAGAGACGACGTATCTCGAAAGCTCGAAGAGGCATTTGACGAACTACCATTAAAAGCCTCTCCTCGGCCCAGACACCGAGACGACCCTCGTCCTGCTGCTTTTGCACCGCGCAAAGGCTCGCGGTGTACACACACACACATAAAGAGTACACACATACACACATACATAAAGAGGGGAAAGCGGAGAGGAAGCGGCAACCCGTTTGTTAAGGGTCGCCAAGACGCGGGGATTTTCGTCGCTTCCGTGTCGCGAGTTTCCGCGATACCGGCTGCTTTTTCCTCCTGGAAATGGAGGAGGGGAGGATGAAGGAGGAATTATGAAACAACACGAGTCGATGGAGGGAGCGGAGGGAGTGGACGACGCAGGGTGGATTCCGCCGACTGATAGAAGGAGGGGGAGTTGGATGGAGAGGGCTCTCCCCGTTGCTTGCGGGGAGATTCGGGTTAAGCCGGAGGAAAATTAATTCTCGTTTAAAGTTTTGGAAATGGAGACGGTGTACGTTGGCGAGGAAAGGAGATGTTGATGTTTTTTCTTTCTTTTTTTTTTTTTTTTGAGTGAGGGAGGGATTGAATTATTGCACGCGTTATAATTTGCGCGAAGTAATTCGTCGTTTCTCCCCTCATTGGAGAATTACTTATGATAATGAAAAAAATTCGAAATATTTTGTACGATTCCCTTCCCTTGAAAAATTTTCAAGCTTCTTTGGATTTAATTAATAGAGGATAGATATTTTTATTTATTTATCTGTTTTTCTGAAAAATATACGGGGACACTTATCGAGGATCCATTTTATGGGGGAACGCAAAAGTTGATTAAAGTGTTGAGATTTTGTTCATTATTGTCACGACAGATGAAAATGAGACGAGTGTGTAATGAGAACAGAGCGATTCTCCATCCGTTGAGATAATATTCGATTTTTAAGAAGAGATAAAATTTAAATTAGAGCACATTGGAGCAAATTTAACTTGCACAACAATTTGCCACTCTTGTTCAAATCGTTCGCGTTAATCGGATTGAAATTGATCCCATTGATATATATTTTAAACATCGAATAACATTGAGAATCGCTCTTTACTTATAACATGATCATTAACGAATTTAACCCTTTGCTCTCAGTAATTCTCGGCCACCAGGATTGTTGCGGCAACTTGAACGGCGACAATATTTATTTAATATTTGATTTTTTAAAAATATTTTTAAAATATCTAAATAAGTTCCTAAACTCTATAATCTTATGAGATGTAATCTTATCTTATGAGTAATTATCTTATGGCAATCTTATGAAGCCACCGAACGCGCGGATCTGAGTCTGGAGTTGCCTTAGAGTTAATCTTTCAACACTCTTCTTCCCCGACGAGCTCGACAATATTCCTCCACATATATTAAAATATAAAAATTCGATTCAGAAAAAAGCAGGACCAATCAAAACGACGATTACATCAAACTCGATCCACGCTCATCTCTAAACATAGATCAACCCTCCTCCCGATCGAATCGATCATTCCGCGTACACGTGCGCGTCTCCATGTCGTCCAACGTCCAACCTTAACACGGCCGATTGATTCGAGGTTAATCGAGCCGTGGGAAACCGCAACTTTCATCCTCTCCCTTTTTATAAACGAAAGGTCAGCTTTCATCCCGGTCACCTTATTCCCTTTCGAACGTCGGTTAATTGCGAAAACAGGGCAGGGACGCGTTTTCGACACGAGGATGACACGGGGGAAGGCGGTGGCACGGATCGGCAATGGCGGATAATCGAAAAATGAGCGGACCGCGCTCGATGAGGGGGGCGAGGAGGGGCTGAGAGAGAGAGAGAGAGAGAGAGAGAGAGAGAGAGAGAGGGGAGGGAGTAATGGGATTAAAGGGACACGAGCATCGGTCACGCTCGAATTTCATTTCCATCGCGACCGGATGCGACGAGATAATTCCGTTTGTAATGAATCGGTCGAAACGATATTCGTCCCGAATTAATCGGGAAATTCTCGTTCCCGTGGCACGAGCCGCCCGATTTTACCGACTGGAATTTCCGATTTTTTACGCCCGTAAAAATCGTGCACCGAGATGTATATATATATATATATATATTTATTAAGCTTGTCGCCACTTGTCGTTGAACACGTGGCATCACCGACAAAAGTGACGATGGATTATTGTCTATTGAAAAGAAGTGGCCACGTTGGCGAAGGGATAAAGGGATAATGGCAAGCAATAAAATTGTAACAAAGCGATGACTCGGCAAAGTGCGGGATAATATAATACGACTTTGCCTTTCACTTACCTGAACAACCTTCATAACTTGTTTTCTTCCTTGAAAACCAATCGGATATTACAGCGTAATTAGAGATACCATTTAACTTTTGTGCGAAAAGAAATTATTTCTATGGTTAATATATCATGATTAATATATATTTTCAGAGAATTTCTGCGTCTACAGACTATTAAGCTTGAAAATGGATGGAACGTACGAGTGAAAGGGGAGGGTATTCGATT